CATTGGCAGCCTGCCGCTCTCCATTTTCCTCACCGTGGTCCCCAGTAGTGGGGGCATGTCGTCCCTCTGCTGCCCCCTCCACAACTTCCTCTTTCTCCTTAAGTCCTTGCTGCTGATCTTGGAGTTAGGGTCCAAGGCCGCATGTGACATGATGGGGCATGCCAGTGGGTGATCCGAAGCAGCGAATTAAAAAGAAAGCCAGAGTCCAAGGGCTCTGGCGACAAAGCTGCCAGACTCCTGCCACAGTGGCTGTGGCCAGCCAAGCCAGGAGAGGGGCCCGGAAACAATGCAATGATGGCTTTTCAGAGCACCCAGTGACTGATGGAATTATTTGAATTCGCTTTAATAATCATTTTGGCCAACGGTTTTTAACCAAGATATTGTATTAACACACACACAAGTGGCTTCTTTAAGCAAAACATTAAAAAGAGGTAAAAATGTTTACTCCCTTTCCTCAAGGCTGGGAAGTCCTGGTCTGAAGGTAATTCTCTAAGAATTGGCTCCATTGCGATTTTCCATCAGAGCCAACTGCTTTCAGGAGGTGGTAAGAATCAGGCTCTTGTTTTTGGAAATCAAAGGACTAAATGGGAGCTGGGCTGCTGTTTTACAAGCACAAGACTGTTAATCCCCTTACCATGGATACAACAGCACCTTGTTCCTTTTTAAATCACAAGACTGATCCTTGAATAATTAGGCAGAGGAAGAAATCCATTACTTGCCCTCCACCATTTAACTCAGAAAGAGAAAGCCACGCCTGAGTTACCTCTTCTTGTTCTATCTCTCTTGCTAAAAATAATAAATTATCTTAAAGCTGATATTGGAGTAAATAAGGCAGATAAATTCACCAGTTTACCTGGGAGATAGACTAAACTTTGGACTTAGATCATAGCCTCCTTAGGAACTCTTTTCAACATTTTAAAATTCCTGTGAAACTCTTTCAGTAAATCTGGCCTAAATCATATTACAAATAGTTGAAAAAACTTGGTTGCCCTCTTCAATCCAAGTCCCAAGAAAAACTCCAGTAACCAGACCTAATGACACCAGATCTTTCTCTTAACTTCATTTTTCCATCCATCTTCCATTCTGGTTCTAAGAAAACCCAGCAAATAGAGCAAAAACCATGTGCTATCAAGATTTGTGAATAATGATTTTGAAAGAATTGTCTTATCGCTGTCACATTTAGTCCATCTTTCTATAATATCTACATGGCCAGGTTCTTGGGTATGCTCCTGGTGCAGTGTGGGACTTGGTCTTACACCTCATTTTAATCTCAGTGCCCAGCACACGGCAGGCTTTCAGAAGAGGTCACTTCATTCTGTGGACCCAACCCCAGCAGTGCAGTTCTGCAGGCTGGCCGCGTGCAGGGAGAGGTTATGTTTCTCATGACACTGCCTTTGGGCACTGGGTCAGCTGCTTCTTCCTCGCCTGCTGGCAGCACCTAGAGTGGATGGTGTAGTTTTCCTGAAAGTGTCCCAGCCAGTCTAACCCAAACTGCCCTCCCTCCTCTAACCTGCAGCTGTGCTCTTTCCAGCAGGTCTGGCAGGAGCAGGAGCCCTGAGCGGAGGCTCCAGACCTTCCCCCCAATTTCCTCTTTCCCTGCATGTGCTCCCCTCCCCCAGGCTTCATTCTCTTCCTTTAGGGGCAAAAAAAGGAGATGGGGATGAGATAGATAAGAAAGGGCAAAGTTCTTTTTCCTGGACCAGGGCCCTCTGTGGTTCCTGCTACTCTCAGCGGTCCTCTGCCCTGGCCGTGTCCCATCACACCATCTTCCCCTGACATGGGTGAGGGGCTCTGGCTGACTCCTTACACACACACACACACACACGCACACACGCACACACGCACACACGCACACACACGCCCCAAGCTCTGCCTCCAGTGGTCCACCTCCAGCCTCGCTCACTGCCTGGCCCCGCCCTGCAGTTGGTTCTGGGCCAACAGGCAGTGACTCCATCCTGTTCCCTTCCCAGCCTCTGCTTGGCCCCAGGAATGTATTCAGGATTCTGTCCTAGGTATGAGCTCGGTGACTGAGGACACCATCCTGTTCTCTAGAACTCAAGCTGCTGCTACTCTGCCGGCAACTCACGGGAGGGCTGAGAATGTCTGCAAGTTGGGGAGCATCCAGCCAGGAAATAGCATGCCCGTCTCCCCTCCTACAGACAGCTCCCCCCTCTAAGAGCAGTTCTCCACCTGACTTGGGGTAGGCAGGGAAACAAGCAAGAACATTACACCAGACACATCACTAGCGTGGAATGGCATTCCGATCAGAATGGAGCCCGTTGTCAACACCTCGAGGGGCTGCACTGGTGAATCTGCAGAGGAACAACTCCTGCCCCTGCCCTATGGGGAAAGGGGTGGACATGTCACAGCCCTCCCTGCAGGGCCACACCCTCTGCCTGTCTGACCCTCTCAGGGAACCCCCGCCTCCTCCTCCACCGCCCACGTGGGCAACGGCGACTGGACCAGAGCAGCTTCCAGTACGTCCTGCGTGCAGGCAGCCAGGACCTCTGTTTAGAAATCCATCCTCTACCGTAGCCAGTGAGGGGCGGGCTGTAAGCGTGTGCCAACGGCAGCTTCCAGATGTGAAGAGGCATCCTCAGGAAATAATGAGCTCGGTATCACTGGTGGTGGCCAGACTTGATATAAGAGATGTTATAGTAAGGACTGGGCAAAAGGTAGGGTGAAAATGAGCATATTCATTATTCTGTTTATCACTGGAATATCTTTATTTTCAGCTCATGTGATTTGTGCTATTCTTTGTGCTTCACAATATCTTCAACATCTTCGAAATATTAGCGGATAAACAATGAGAAGGGAAAAAAAACAATCAGCAGCCAATGCCAAGCTTTGGATCCTGAAGCCATCCTGGAAAGGGATACTTGCCACACTCCAGAATCCATTCTGCCCCCAGTGGCACCCCAAGACCTCTGGAAGGCGGAAGGTTTAAAACTGACGCCTTTGCCACGCTCCTGGTGTCTTCCATCGCCCGGCCTCACTGGACAGACACGGCCCCTCTGCAAAGCTGCGCTGTGGGGCCTTTCGCACAGGAGAAGGCTGCTCACGTGGGACGCAGCCTCCTCTATGGCAGTGCGTGTGGGGTCCGGCCCAGCACGTGGATTGCATCTTAAACACATCCTGCTCCATTAAGCCACCCTCATCACTCACCTCCCTGACAGCAGGATTGCTGGGGCTCCTGCCGCCTGACCCTTTACAGAAAAATATTTACTGACCCCTGGTCTAGTTTGCAGTTTCAATTTTGACAACTGGCATTGGCAACACAAGCTTTCATATATATGATGTGCCCAATTCTACCTAAAACATCTTTTAAATAAACTAGAGCAGATGTTCACAGACACCTACAATACCCCAGGTTCTGAAGGAAGACATTTCAAAAGTAAACTCAAAATTAATCTAAAATATTACAGATGTATATTAATTTTTCCAATGAACAGAAACAATTGATTTAACTTAGCATGTACCAGGTGAAATGTGGGCACTTAGAGGAAGTAATAGTGCCCCGAACACAGCAATGTATAAAACCTGCTTTACAAGAAGGGCTAGAAGAAAATACCAAGAGGCTATTCAAGGGGTTAGCAGTGTGAGAAAAACAGTGTTTTTCTTTTATTTTTTTCTTTTCAATATTTTGTGATGTTATCACCTTACTTTTGTTGGAAAAGTCATCATAAATAGGTGTGAAAGAATGGTGTAGTTTAATGGCATAAAACATAAGTAAATATATTTTTTTATCTGTAAAATAGGAAAAAATTTACTTACAGCAAAATTTTCTTTTACTATATACTTCTTTTATTTTTTTGAATCATGTGAATGTATTCTTTAAAAATATACATCCAAAATATACATGTGTATACACACAAATACATGTATCATGTGTTTATTTTGTTCCCTCAGATTCCACTCTTCTGTTTTGTTTCTTATATTCATAGCCCATGAATCAGATATTGTGGGTATGAGGGAGACCAATTAATAGTCCTCTTAATAATTAATAATCCTCTTCACCAGGCTCTAAGTCATAAAATTAAGACCAGAAGATGAAGCAGATAGGAGACCAAACTTAGAGGCTAGGTTGGAGAATAGGACTTTAATTAGCAGGTGAATTTTCTTCTTAATTTAAAAAACATCCTGAAATGAAATAAATTCACCTACATCGTCTCACGCAGAGCAGAACTGGGGCAGGTGTTGTCATGTACTGGAGTAAATACGCAAGATATTTAACATCCCATATGATATGGCACCTACTAATCTAAACAGTTCTCAGCTGCAAACAGAAAGGACAGCCTTAGGGTGTGCGTGCCTGTCCATGCGGAGCCTGGTTCTGTACTTAGCTAAGGAGTAGCACAGGAGAAAGCCTGCCATCATTTGGGGCAGGCTAGCTCCCAAAGAGTCAGGAAACCATGCCCAAGTTCTCCTTCCAGCTCACCAATCAGATAAATCATTTCACCTCTTAAGGGGGGGAATGAGGGAGAGAGTAGAGAGAGAGCAGGAGTGTTATCCTCATCACAAATAGAGAAGGAAGGAAACATCATAAATAGAGAAGATTTCTCCAGAAGAATAGACAAAAATATAAAACTACTAAAAGTTGTAGTAAGTGCTTTTAAGAAAATAAAGTGCTAAGAGTGGGAAGAACCTATACATATTTGGGTTACTCTACTCTCAAAGTGAGAGTAGAGTTCTTTAATATCTATCCACCTATCTGCAAGAAAAATTAGATACACAATATAAATGTAGAAAGCTTAGGACACATCATTGCAATTTGGGGACATATTTATCTTCATATTACGTATTGAACAAAGAGCATTGTTGCAACATGATATAAACTCTAAGCCGAGCTAGATTACAAAAGTTTTAAAAAGTTCAATAAAAAACTGGGGCCCTTCAAAAGATTACATTAATAAATTATCTTCAAGATTGAAGTTTGAAATAATGCAGTACCTCAAATAATACCGTAAATTATCAGTTAAGATTTCGCACTGTTTACTTACTCTGTTGTTTCTCTTTTGGGAACCTTTCTCATGGAGAAAGCTACCATCGCTCTGAAGAGATATTCTTCATTTATATCCCAGGCATACTGAATTAGAAGAAAAATAAAAAATTTAGAGGCAAATGGTAAAAAATGATCCATTGGATTCTAACTGTGTGCACCACAGTGCTATGCCCACTCATGCTTCCTTCCTCTCTCTCTCTTTCTCTCTCTCCCTGTCACTGAAAACTGGAGACCATGATAGATCATATCCCCATATTGTTCAGGGCGGTGTTTCTCAGAAATTCTATAATTCCCCGTTTGGTGTGTTGCACTATCTTCCTCAGAACCTCCAATATCAGTGACTGGTCAACAAATAGGGCATTTGGACATTTCACCGTGGCCATATATGATCCATTTCCTTCCTCACGTCTTCTCTTCCTTCATAAACTCCCTCCCAGTTTCCTTTCCTTTACTAGCATCAGTGCAGTACAATTTTTCAATTTTCTTAGCTGGAAACTTGAGTATGTGTGTATGTTATGGGCTGAATTGTGTCCCCCCCCCCATACACACACACACACACACACAAATTCTGTTGAAGTCCTAATTCCCAAGCCCTCAGCATGTAACTGTAATTGGAGATAGATACACAGCTGATTAAGTTAAAAGAGGTCCTTAGGGTGGGCCCTAATCCAATATGATTGGGGTCCTTAGAAGAAGAGGAAATTCAGCACAGACTGGTACAGCGGGAAGATGGTGAGCAGATAGTCATCTACAGGCCAAAGCGACCTGGAACACATCCGTCCCTCACAGCCCTCAGGAGGAACCAAACCTGTGGACACTTTGTCCTTGGACTTCCAACCTCCAAAAAAGACAGAAAATAAATTTCTTTTAAGCCACCCAACCCTAGCAAGCTTATATGGTATATTTGACTCATTCATACAGCAAAGTCAAAAGCCTGAGGCAGGCCGGTTGCGGTGGCTCATGCCTGTAATCCTAGCACTCTGGGAGTGTTAGGCAGGTGGATTGTTCAAGGTCAGGAGTTCGAAACCGGCCTGAGCGAGACCCCATCTCTACCAAAAATAGAAAGAAATCAATTGACCAACTAAAATATATACACAAAAATTGGCCGGGCATGGGGCACATGCCTGTAGTCCAGCTACTCGGGAGGCTGAGGCAGGAGGATCTCTTGAGCCAGGAGTTTGAGGTTGCTGTGAGTAGGCTGACGCCATGGCACTCGCTCTAGCCCAGGCAACAAAGTGAGACTCTGTCTCAAAAAAAAAAAAAAAAAAAAAAAAGCCTGAGGTAACAATAGACTGGCCTGTTTAAGACCATCAATGAAGCTAGTGTAACTGAAGCACAGCAGGCAGGGGGAAGGCAGAAATAGCTGAGGGGAGGGGAAGGACTGGGGAGAAGGGAGTTGGCATATCACAAGGTCATTGTCAGGATTTGGATTTCACTCTGGGATAGGGAGACATATTTTACTATCACTGCCTTCTCTTCTGGTGAAGGGGTGATAGTAAGCAAAAATAAATGGCTCCTAAATAACAACAAAAAAAATGTATCACTCAGTTACTTTCTCTGGGTAAGAAGTTTTTATGACTGCGCTCTTTCTATCTCCTAGATACTTTTATATAATTACTTTAACTTTCTTCAATTGTCTTCTCCTTTGCCTATTCTCCTTAGCCCTATCTTATATAACTCTGCAATAAGATGTTCCAGCATGAACAGAAAAATTCAATCTCTTTTTCCTAACATGCAGTGTTGAATATTGCATTTTAATGTCAGCTTTAGATCTTATTGGAAGTGCTCTTTCAATCTTTTGAAGTGAACTTTTCATTATATTTATACCATGAAAGTTTTCAAATAATTAACTGGCTCGTGGCTATAGCTCCTTGTTTTTGATAATAACATTTCTTTCCAAAATTAGTTTTACTCAGAATAAGATAGCTATAGTCCAATCTCATAAATAAATGAGCAAAACATAAAGAAGAAATGAGTCTGGTTAAAAATAGCACACAAAACACTATTCAGGCAGGGAAGCTTGTTAATAGAATGCAGAAGATGGGAATAAGACCTGCTCAAGTGTAGGTGAAAGCAATAAGCTCATTGAGCAAATGCAAATGAAGATGCTAGCCAGCTCTCCTTGGCACATGAATTTAAGTTGCTTTTTAGATCTGGGTATTTGATCTGATCTCCTGTCCTCACATTGATTCCTCTTAAAAACAAGTGCAGGCCGGGTACAGTGGCTCACGCCTGTAATCCTAGCACTCTGGGAGGCCGAGGCAGGCGGATGGCTCAAGGTCAGGAGTTTGAAACCAGCCTGAGCACAGAGCAGACCCTGTCTCTAGTAAAATAGAAAGAAATTAATTGGCAACAAAAAAATATATAGAAAAAATTAGCCGTATGGTGGACATGCCTGTAGTCCCAGCTATTCGGGAGGCTGAGAGGAGGATTGCTAGACAGAGTTTGAGGTTACTGTGAGCTAGGCTAACACCACAGCACTCTAGCCCGGGTAACAGAGTGAGACTCTGTCTCAAAAAAAAAAAAAAAAAACAAGTGCATAAAATGGCTGGGTAGGAATCCAGTTTTGGTCACAGAACAAAGCCCCGAGCTATTTAAATCAGGACAGGATTGACACAGTTCTAGATCAGGTTGGGGATCCTGCTAGTGGAACCAACTTATCTTGGGTAAGTGTGAAAAGATTGAAACTGTGCATGGCTATAGCTTTTCTACCAGGGCATTCAGAACGTGTCAAAGAGATAGGCTTCACTCATAAAAGGAATTGAGCATATGTAATGCTGAGAAAATGTACAACTTAAGAGAGGAGAAGGACAGAGATACTAAAGCTAAACATTTGTATACTGTGTGACCCAGCAATTTTACTCCTGGACAAATACCCCCCAAAGAGAAAGCATATGGAAAATATGCGTGCAAGAACGTTCATAACAGCTTAGCTAACTGTCGTGCATATACTTGACACATAATAGGTACTCAATGTGTGAAATTGAACACACCTTTCTATTCCCACATGTGGCTTCACAGACCAAGTGGTGCATATTAATTGCATATACTTATCCATCAGTTCAGATTCCTTGGTTCCTCATTTCAGTAACACTTGTGCCAAGGCCCTAAATGTCCCCAGCTCACCTTGCTTTTTGCACACATCTAAAAGCCCCATGTTTTAGGTAAGTAATCAGTATAACTTGTGAAAATCACAAAACAGGTGAGTTGGTTTAATGCTAAATTCATGATGACCTACCCCTAAATTGCCTGGAAATCCCTTAGGTTTCTTCATCATTCTCTTTCATGGGCCATGTGACTATTTCAAACCTCACCTCACATCTCACTGAATGCCTTCGAATTGCTTCATAATTCATAAATACATCTCAAGTCATCAATTTAAACTCTCCCATCCTCCTGACACCAAGATACAAAACTTCCTCCATAGACACACGTCCTATCCACCTCTTCCCTGAAGTGCCAGACACACCTATGCCTATCAGTGGCTATTCTCTCCCCCTCGATTAGGAACGCTACCCCTTGGCCCTTCTCGGGATCTAAACAATACCAGTTTCCCCCTGTCTTCTGTGTTCAAGTCTTACTGGGGCCTGTGCATTGCTTTTTAACCACGCTCAAGTCTTTCCCATTCAAATAATAGCAAAGACAAATCACTTTACGCGATCTTCCTATCTTCCACCTATTGATGTCTCTCTCCTGCCCTTCACAGCCAAAATTCTCCAAGTTGTCCACATTCGTGTTTCCACACTCGTGTTTCCACACGTTCACCACCCATTATTTTTAACTGTCTCCGTTATCTGCCTTCCAGCTGTGCTAGTCCACAAAGCAGCTCTCTCTCCAGCCACCGTTGACCTCCACATTGCTTAATGCCATGAGCATGTTTCAGTCTTCATCTGGCTTGGCCTCTCAACAGATTCGATGCCCTTGAATGCTCCCTTCATCTCGAAACAAAACTCCCCAACACAACCCACTTAGTCCTTGGCCTGGGCCCTCCTTTCTAAGTTCCTCCTCTCTGCCTCAATTTTAGACATCTCAGCCTTCTTTCTGTCCTTCACTCTCACCAACCTCTTTCCTGTGATAAGTCTTTGCACATGCTGTTCCCTCCACCTTTCCTTCTTTTATCCCCTGGTTCACTTCTCCTCATGCTTCAGACTTCACAGCAATTGCCAGGTGCTGAGGTCCCTGATGAAGCCAAAACCCCTTTGTACTTCCCTGCCTTAATACTTGCCAAGATTGCATGTTTGCATTTGGTTTACTGAATATCTAATGGATGACTGATTCTCCCACTACTATAAGCTCCACAATGGCAAGGACAAGCCTGATTTTAACCGCCATTGCATCCCTAGCATTCAGCTTGGTGCCTGCATCAGAGGATCCTGGGATAAGCAACCCTACACACTGGCAGAGAGAGTGGATTCTGCAGTCACACTTGCCTGGGTTCAAATCTTACCTCTGCGACTTGCTGACTTGACATCTTGAGCGAGTTACTTAATTTCTTTGCACCTCAGTTTTCTCATCCATCCAATGGGAATGGAAATACCTGTACTACCTTCTGCAAAGGGTGGTTGCGAGGGCTAAATGACTTGATAGGATTAAAATGCTCAGGAGGGTCCCAGCTAGAATGTAAACTAAGTTCTGAATAAATGCTGGCTGTTACAGCAATCATTACTTATTAAGTAAATAATAAAATAATACATTGGTGGACTGGCCTGAAAACAGAATATCTCTAAGTTTTTTAGCACTCTTTTTTTGTTGTTATTTCTAGCCTGAGGCATGTTAATATCACCTTCTAATGGGAAAAATATTTTGCAGGCCACACTGGGAAATGGAAACTAGAAATAGAAATATTGTCTTATTAATTCAATGGTGGTTACTGTTCCTGTGAGTGTTTTTAAACTTCTATTTCATAAGCATATATTTCATATTGTTACTTTGAAGATTGAGAATTGAGGAAATTCACTTTGGAATTGGAAAATTTGGGGCTACGAAAGACCTTATGTGGGTAGAATTGCCTCTTCTTTTCAATGACTAGAAAAATGAGACTGACAAAAGCCCTTTTGCTCCACCAGGCTGGGTTGAGATGTTCATTTTCTAAATTGTTTTCTGTAATACAAACCTTCACATATTTTCTAACATACAGTGCAGATTAAATGCTTTTAGGCAAACCTACTTTATTAGCAATTTCTATTTTACTAAAATCTATCTTTGCTTTAAGAAAAGATCAGATTTAAAGTCTTTAGAAATAATTAATTTGAGATTAACTATGCAGAGACCCATTATTAGAGAAAGGGTATTATTAGCAAACAAAATTTAAAATGAACACTCAGGTGCACCACTTACTGCTTTGTCTCCAAGAGCAGTCTTGATACTAAGTCTCACTTTAAAAGCATTTTCTGCATCTGCCAGAAAGAAAAAAGAAAGAGCAGTATATGGTGATAAGATCCATCAAAACGAAGCCTGATAAATCCTAATATTTAATTCAACTCAAAACAACAGAGCACAGAACTACAATTGAGCTACCCTAAATACTCCTAAAAGTTTAACCGAAATCATCATAGAAGGTTTTAAATTTTCTTTCAAACTCATCAGTCATGACCCCAACTTTCAAGCCACATCATGTCTGCGGATTTAGAAAAATAAAGAGTTCTTTCAATCAATGATTTGTCAATCATTCAGAAAACTGCTAATCTATTTAAGTTTCAAGGCTACGTACCTGGTTGACAGAGTTCAGCATGAATAGCCGTCACCAGAAGGAAGAGCGGCCACAACATTCTTTCAGAGTGGAAAACAGAAGGCAAACTGAGAAAAAAAAATCCACCCTGCACTTAAAGCTGCCTTAGCCATTCTGTGACCCGGATTAGAATATCAGAGAAACAAGTGAGCCACCATCTAAAAGGTTTAATGATTAACACCCATCATTTGGGTTAATACTTCTATAAAAGCAGCTGTCACATCTCCTGTCACTTATTTACAAAAATCTATTTGAAAAGCAGATTAGTTGTTTTTTTACAGACCCTACCTCAAAAGAATGTTTCCTCTGCTGTCTCAAAGTTGGAATCCTTCCCCCACCCCTCCTGTGGTTGTCTGGTTAAGTGCACAGTAGAAAGCACTGAGTCCTCTCTGGAGGTTTTCCTTGGCATGAACTTTCCACCTTTTCAGGGCCAAAATATCTGGTTCATAGATAGGCTATCTTAATTTAGGAAACAAACATGACTCCTTTCTATCTCTGAAAAACAAAGGATGTCTTCCAAGAATGGCCTCACCTGACTCTCACCACAGCAGGTAAACATCCAGGAGAGCTTCCACTTCAAACAAAGGGAATGGTTTTGTTCAGCGCCAAGGTCTGGCACTTGTGTAAAATCAAAGCTAATGGTAGAGAGCAGTGCTGTCCAATGGAACATTCTGTGATGATGGGAATGTCCTATGTCTGTGCTATCCAATATGGTAGCCGCTAGATACAGGTGGCTATTGAGCACTTGAAATGGGACTAGTGCTACTGAGAAACTGAATTTTCATTTAATTTAATTTAATTTCCTTTAAGTAGGCATGTGTGGCTAGTGACTACATTGGTCAGTGCAGGAATACAACAGTGATTAAGGGCTACCTACCCTGAACTAGGCTCACTGGATTATTTCTCTAATCCTCAAGACAACACTTCACAGTCGTTGTTGTTATAATCCCCTCACATGGGAGGGAACTGAGGCTCCCGTGTTGAAGTCTTTGGCAGCAGCGGATGAATGGAACGGGTGTCACTTTACCAGCTAGGCTGACTTACACTTGAACCCTGTCTCCACCACACCGAACTGCGTGGTGTCTCTGGTCATCACTGGTAAAAACTGAAATCGCAACAAAACCTCAGAGGTGCTCTGAGGATTAAGATGATGAGTGTAAAAGAACCTTCCTCCTGGTGGGCACTCCACAGACGCCAATAGACGCCCCCCCACACACACACACAAGAGGGTCGGCAGCAGGGCTTTGCTCACTACCGTGCTGCCTCCTCATGAATTCAGTCCCCAAATTCCACCTCGTTCCTGGGAAGTCATGAATGGCAGAATTACACTGGGTGAGCCTGATGTTAAATATTTAGTAGAAACATTGGATTTTTTAAGCAACCATGAGGAAAATATCAACAATGACACTTCTGCAGCACTTTGAGAGACATATCTTTCCCCCTCCTAGTAAAGATGGTATTTCCTCCTCCTAGTAAAGGACCCATTTCTGTTAGCTAAATCCACCTGAGGAAGCTTTTTCTCATCTCCTTCACCTTGGTTGCAAAAACACTGAGTCAGGAAAAGCTGTACTAGAGGGAGAGGCAGCCAGAAGTTAGCCCAGCCATTCCAGCAATTTCACTATTAGGTGAATGGAAATTTCCAGAAGAGAGAGCTCACTTAACTAACCCCTAAAAAACCTGTCAGACTAGATGAAGTGACCTTCGGAAATGTTAGAATAGATAAAGCAGTCATGGGAAGGAAAAGTCAATACACTTTGACTGGATGGAGATCATAACAAAGCATTTTATTTGCATCAAGAAACAAAGCCATGTTAGGAACATAGAAATCCAATTCAGTTTTCCTTTAGTTTTGCATTTCACAAAAGTGACAAATTTCTCCATATGCTTTTACTTATGTAACTAGGATTGAAGATAGTAAAATACTGAGTCTTAGTGTAAGTCATTCATTTGAAAAGAAAAAACCATCTCTTCTCTTTTCAGTAATGATTCCTCAATGTTTATTGTCTTGTTTTTAAAATGATAGAAAAAAAAGGGCAATAGAAATTCTTTATAGCCAACACAGACAAGCAAAAAGAAAAAAGTAGGAAACAACCATAGTATCACCAGCATGGATGACCAATGTTAATATATTTTAACCATGGAAACATACCTTCCTTAGCTTTGGGTCTTCCTGTATGTTCTTGCATGATGTTGTATTGTTTCTTTGTAGTGCCAATTAGAACAGAGTGATGTAAAGGTGGAAATAGGAACGACCATTCTCTTCTTTCTTACTCTAATGGGAATGCTGCTACCCCATGGAATCTGGTGAGTTTCTTTAAAACTGATGTGCCATGTGATAAAAGTATCCTTTTATTTCTAAATTACTAAAAATTATTATCAGTAATTGATGTTGCGTTGTATTAACTGCCTTCCCAGTATCTATTAATATCACCAAAGGATTTTTACCATTTGGTGCATTGTATTAATAAATTTCTTTATGTTGATTTAATCCTTAAAACAGTTTTATAAAATTTATTTTTAATATGCTGCTGGAATTAATTGTTGGGTTTTCCCTTAGAATTTTTAGACCTATTTTCTTTTAATAATATCATGTAGGTTCCTTTTCAAGTACTGATTCTTAAAGTTTTGTTTTCCTAGCCTTTACATTACCATCTTGAAAATGATATACAAAGGTTTCTAATATTTTCTATGTTTAGAAATACTTATGATGCATATAAGAAATAAACAGTTCAAAAGTGAAGAATCTGGACCATGTGTATTTTAGACGAAGAGTTCTTTGAAATTTTTCATTTCTTTTTTTTTCTTTTTTTGAGGCAGGATCGCCTAGGCTAGACTGCAGTGGCATCATCATAGCTCATAGCAACCTCAAACTCCTGGGCTCAAGCAATCCTCCTGCCCCAGCCTCTCCAGTAGCTGGGACTATAGGCGTGCACCACGACACCCAGTTAATTTTTCTATTTTTAGTGGACACAGGATCTCACTATTGCTGCTTGGGCTGGTTCCCTGGCCTCAAGTAATCTTCCCACCTCGGCCTCCCAAATGCTAGGGTTATTATCTGGCTAGGCCCAAAATTTTCATTTCTTACATCATCATTTATTTTAGGTTTTATACTTCTTTCTGAGTCTATTTTGGCTGTTTACAATTTCCAAGAAAAAATTCACTTTGTTAAGATTTTCCAATATTCTCATGGAGTTTATAGACTATCTCCAATAAAATATCTACATTTGTTGCTGTGCTATCTTCATATGTTCTAGCATGTATATTGTTTTTTCTCATTTTCCATAATACTTACCAGAGGTTTATCTATTTTTGTTGTTACTTATTCAAAGAACAAGATCTTGGATCTAATTAACAATACTATTGTTTCTGTTTTGGATTCATCAATCTTATTTATATTTATTAAGTCCTGGCTCCTGTGGTCATTATGCTTGTTTTCTTCTTTTAATAACACTTGCGTTAGCTAATAGACTTGTTTTAAAAAATTTCTCAGTTAATAATGACAATATCTGTGGCTATGAATTTTCTTTGGAATACTGTTCTGGCCACACGACATAAGATGTACAGATGTACAGTGATCTCATTCTTATTTTCTAAATAGTTTTAGAATTTGCAGTTTAGAAATTGCAGTTTTAATTTTTTTTGATATCCCAGTAATTGCTCATCAAAGTATTTGACGACAGAAAAAGAAACAGCAGCCAAAAATGGAATAATTCAAAAATACAGATTTTTATAGGTCTTGTTGGGAATAAAAAGATAAAAGCTCAAATAACAAATATGAGACATGTCAAATAACTTGACTTCAAATATGAAGATGCCACAAGTTACATGTCACATAGAAAGTCCTGAAAATGAATGCAATGTTGAATAGCTTGATGGAGATCTCAATAAAATAGAAGGAAAACAGAACTATATACAAAGGTTCTTACCTCTCAACATACTATCTTTTTCTTACACTTGTCAAATCATGCACAAATTTAGCGTTTATCTTGATGTGCAAGTTTTAAGTAGTAAACTTCCAGAGGATTCACATCTATGTAACTTGCTTCATAAAATGCTCATTTCAGCAGTTTCCCATATGGGAAGCTTAATAACTTATTAGTAACCATGGTAATGACAACAAATAAAGCCATTTCAATCATCGTGAGTATATTACTATTTACTTCCAAATATTCAGAGTTTAGAGAACATAGACAAAAAGTTCAGATTACTGTTGCCATGAACAACACAAAAGGGCACTGAGTCTTCTGAAACAGAAAAAAGAAATTGATTTCTCCATGTTTTTTATACTCCGAGACACTATTGAAAAGCAGCTTCTGGGCACGTAGCTATTGATCTACCACTCCGGGTGGTAAATAAAACATGAGATCACATGAAAAGAAAACACTGTCATTCTTTTGATTCATGCAAGATACCTTTTAAAGTTCATCAGAGTCATAAAAGCATGTAGGGATAGGTAGGCTCCGTTTACCTGCAATAAAGCAAAAGGTAGGAAGGGCCAATATTCCTTGTAAATTGTTACCCTGATTATTCTGTTTCATCCTAAACAGGAATTTAGTAAACATAGAGCACCTATAACTAGTACAGTAAACCATGAAACCATTTCAAATGTGACATTACTCTGTAAAATGTTATTGCATTTTGGGAAATCTATCTGGCTGTGGCACATTAAAAGAAATCAAAACTTTTAGTAACTGAACCTGGAAACCTTTTATAAGATAAAAACTTTGTACTTTTTAACTAACATCTTAATTAAATGGCTCCACCTCCATGCAATGATTTTCTAGAAGTTGTAGAATTTTGAATAAATGTGATTCTTCCTAAGTTAAAATGAAATTGATATACTATATAATAAACAATATCAAGATAATTATAGTAATTAATACATTTTCAGTATAATTAGATAACAATTACTTTATTCTCTTTAAATTGTCAGTATTAAGATGCATGGAGAGACAAGACACTTTTGTCTATTGCGCAAAAGTGTTTTTTTTCAATTCATTAGCTTTCAGTCGGGAATGATTTTGTCCTCCAGAGGACATTTGACAATGTCTGGGGACATTTTTGATCGTCCCAAAGGCAGGAGAGAGAGGTGCTACTGGCATCTAGTGGGCAGAGGCCAGGGG